AGGTTAAGGGATTAAAACCGCCTGTCTCAAGCTACATGTCAAGCTTTGTTGTCTGAAAGAGAAAGGTTTTCAAGAATTAGGTCCATAAAAAACCGAAATCAACGCGACTCGGTCAAATCGTGATAATCTTCATCAATCTTTGAATAGAATGTCTATATTCTCCTAAGATTCATTACATTCTCAAGATGGTGGTAATAAACTTTCGTGGGTCACTTAATATAGAAGTAACTTTTCATTTTCAACAAATATTAACTGACAAAATTTGCTGACATTGGAGGAATGACTTAGGCCTATACACATTGTCAAACCCTCGCATGCAGAAGAGTCTAATTGACTTTGCTGCACGGGTTGTACTTTGAATATTTTCCAATTACCTCCATAACTATTTAAGTTCATTAGTAAGCGGTCAACACCCAGATTTTAAATCGTTTTTGGATAATATTCGATCGTATAACTATACTTTTCAAATTACATCTTTTGGTTTAAAGTGAATTGCAGAAGGGTCATTTATGCCCACTTTCAAAGTGCAGGTTCAAGGCTCCTATTTATCGAGATATTCATTGACAGTATGTTCAAATGTAAAATAAAGAAAAATCCAATGAGTACCAAATATTATAAATATAGTACCTAATAACACTTAAAACCAAACCTCATGCGTAAGTAGTAGTGGGCACAGCTAGTCAGTATATGTACAGCAGGAGATTGATTAAAACAATCGGAGAGAGTATTTATGACGACCGGATGGCGTAGTGGTTTGTGTAACGGACTGCTATTCCACAGGTAATGAACATATAATGTTTGATTTGGTCTGGGTGTTGTGTATGTGTATAATAAGTACCTATTTACAAAAAAAAGTATATTTGTATTTATATATATTGTACAAGCTTTGCTTAGTTTGGGGCTAGATGGCGTTGTGTGAATGTGGTAGAATATTATTATTACTAAATCATTAGTGCATCACCTTAAAGCTGCTTTCAATATTTTAGTACTCTGCGTAGACAATAACCCTCACACTTATTATAATAGCCTTTTTGAAACTTTTTATTTAACATTTAACAGTATTTTCACACCAACAACCCAAGTGGTTAAAGGTAAGGCCACATTTAGTGAATGGGCTACTACTGACTTACTCAAAAGTAGGAAAAGATTTTATGAGCTATATGATGAGAGTAATTATAATAAAAGTGAATTTTAAAGAATATTCGAAGCTATTTAGGAAACTTTGTAAATTGGCTAAGTCCCTTTTGTAAGTTCAAAGATTAAAAGTAGCAATGATAAGATTAAAACCATTTGGAAAATTATTAACAACGAAACTGGAATAAACCAATACTGCGATAATGAATTTAATCTGTATGTAAACAACAAATTCATCACATCAAATGCTGAGGTTTCTAATGCATTTGAGAACTTGTTTACCAATATTTTTATATCAACTACTAAATCTTTGATCTGAGAATCAATTTTAAAAGATAATGTTGGTAGGATTGATAATGAATTTAAGTTCCGATATGTTTCTCCCCTTGAAATTATTACAGCCTTTAACAATCTTTACGTTAAAAAAACAACTGACTTATGGAGAAATTCTGTATTTATTACTAAGACATTTATATCTCTTGTGGCTCATCAATTGTCATTTACATTTAATCAATGCGTTGATAGTGGTGTGTTTCCTGATCTTATGAAGTCCAGTAAAATTATTCCTTACATCTAAATTTAGGCCTATTTCAGTACTACTAGTATTTACCATAATTATAAAAAAATAAATATGATCAAGGTTATATATATTGTATCCTTTGCTAAAGATACTGTATGTTTTCGAACAAATAAAATAAACATGTTTTTAGTTTTATAAGTTTGATACCCCAATAGGCGTAGCTAAATACAACAGGCCGGTGACGGGCAGCAGCGTCACCAGTGCGACAAGCTACGCCCTGCGATCGCCAACCCGCCTGCCCAGGGTAGCGATTAAAATTCTTCCCCATGCAGACGCAACAAAGGCCACGGCCCCCAGTTCCCTGCGGCCCCGCTATTCCTGATCATGGCAGTAACCACAGTAACAGCGGGGCAGGGGGTGCGAAGAATCTCCGGGCTACGGGAGGCCACCACAACCGACTGACCCTGGCTACGTGCAACGGACGTTGTACGTAGCCAGGCACGCTACGGCTACACTCGCATCTGACCAACTCTGTTCCAAGCTATGATAGGATCTGAAACGTTCCAGTCAAAACTGGAAAATCGATTCGCTGCCGTGGAAACCACAACCGACGTAAACCAGAACCTCGAAAATGTGGTTCGGATCCTCAGGGAAGAAGGTACGAGATTTTGTGAAATGCTAGGTAAGGACAGGAAGTCGAAGTTTTCAGAAGGGACCATAGGGCTGATGAAGAAACGACGTAAAAACCCGCCTATCACTTTGACGGCAAAGCGGACTCTAAACCAAGAGATCAGTACCAACTCGTACGACACGACCTCTGGTACTCCAATACTCTTTCAATTGAAAGAGTGATCGAGCAGAATCGTTTGTCAAAAGTGTTCGTACAATCTCTTGAATGAAGCCACCTGACAAAGTTGACTACAGCAAGTGGAGATGTCCTTGCTTCGAAGCAATCCTTTCGGAAGTGGAAAGCTTCTATGGCCGGTTATACGCTTCGTATGCATCTCGACCTGATTCTGAAAATGCAAAGGTATCCAGAGCCACATTAACACGTCACTAGACCGAAGACCTGCCAGAAGTCAGCACTGACGAAATCGAGATAGTTTTTGGTTAGTTGAAAAATAAAAAGCCTCTGGAGAGGATGGCGTTATAACAGAGCTGCTAAAAGCCGTAGGTGAACCTTTACTAAGGTCCACAAACTCCAAAAGCTCTTCAACGCTGTCCTGTTCGAAAGAAAAACTCCGGAAGCGTTGAGTAGGAGTGTGGTCGTCTTGTTCTTCAAAAAGGGTGACAAGACCATGTTGAGAAACTATATCCCTTCTAAGCCGCGTCAACAAGCTGTTTTCGAGAGTCATCATGAACCGTCTTGCGCGAAGTCTCGACGAATTCCATCCACCGGAGCAAGATGGGTTTTGGCGCGAATATGGCACCATAGACCACATCCATACAGTACGGCAAATTATACAGAAGAGCGAAGAATATAATCAGCTTCTTTGTCTAGCATTTGTGGACTATGAGAAGGCCTTTGACTAGATTGAAATCTAGTCTGTTCTGGAGTCCCTGCAGCGTTGCCAAGTTGATTGACGATACATCCAAGTGATGAAATGCCCCTACTAACCTGCCACCATGTCCGTCAAAGTACAGAAACAGCAAACAAGGCCCATAAAATTGCATCGAGGAGTGAAACAAGGGGTCGTTATTTCACCGAAATTGTTTACTAATAACATGTTTAAGACGTTGCACAGCAGAGGGTGTTTTTTTTTAGACATCTACCGCACTAGGAATACATCCTGTGTCGCGGGGGACTTTACAAACATACATGAAACGGACACAAAGTACACCCAGACTCAGAACAACAATTTGTGGATCACACAAAGTGTTGTCCCATGTGGGGTTTGAACCCACAACACTCGACGTAATAGGAAGCGGCGTGGCGACCGCTTAAACCACTCCACCAGCCATCCGTGCAGTCAATGTGGCATCAATATCAATGGCAAATACACCTCTCACTTGCGATTTGCAAACGACATCAACATAGCAAGAACGCTGCAGGACGTTCAATAAATGCTGAATGACCTAGCTGACTCTTCTGTACGCATCGGCCTACGAATGAACTTGGATAAAACCAAGGTCATGTTCAATGAACATGTTCTACCGCAACCGGTTACGGTACACGGTGCCGTTCTCGAAGTTGTTGAAAATTATGTGTACCTAAAGCAGACATTGCAGTTAGGTAGAAACAACTTCGAGGACGATGTGAACAGAAGAATTTAGTTGGGTTGGGCAGCGTTTGGGCAGCTACGTCGATTCTTCCTATCGTCGATCCCACAGTGCCTTAAGACGAAAGTCTTCAATGAGTGCGCCCTACGCGTCATAACATACGGAGCCGAAACGTAGACACTTACGTTAAAAGTGGTCCACGATTTCAAAGTCGCTCAGCGTGCTATGGAAAGGGATATGCTCGGTGTTTCCCTAAGGGATCGCATCAGGAATGATGTGATCCAGTAGAGAACCAAGGTCACCGACGTAGCCGACTTAGCCATAGCAAGCTGAAGTGGCAGTGGGCTGGCAATATTAGCCGCAGAACTCTTTTTTTCCAACGGTTGTCGCCGTTGGGGAAAACGAGTTCTTGAGTGAAGTTCTCGGTGAACGTAGTGTGTGGACGCCCACAGGTCAGGTAGAGTGACGATTTGCGCAAGATGGCTGGCGGGTTGGCTAAGTGGCGTGCTATGGGAGAGGACTATGTCCAGCAGTGAACTGTGATAGGCTGATGATGATACAATTATGATAAAATAAATCTTAGACTTCAACAAACATGAACAGTAATAAAATTATTTTAGTACTGATCATGGAGAAAAACTAATCTTGAGAAAAAAAAAATCCCCTGTAATATAACAGAATACACATAAAGTAGATCTAATTTTATTCAGACTTACAGATTCACAATAGGATGTGTAAAAACCGTAAAAACTTGATCTTGTATATACTTGATACATAAAATATTATATTCCCTTTCATTGTAAAATCAAATTCAACGTATTTTTTTTGACAAATTTGTGCAATAAAAAATAATATACACTTCAACGCGTTCAGAGAGTATGTTTGTATTTCCTGCTCTGTCGAACTCGGAAAGTATTACATAAAGTGACTACATAAAATTCCCAATTGATCACATCATTTACTCGTGATGTTTTCATTGTAAACAAATACGACACATACTAAACAAAAAACTATATTTACTATAATAAATATAATGTTTATAAATATAGTTATACTATATAAACCGATTATAATCAAGATATTTAAACAGTTATGGATACTTTTGCGTGAAAGAAGCTTACAAAAAATGCGGCTCTCAAATGTTTTGTAAGTACCATTTTATAGGTGTATTTTTGATCACACCAAGAAGGCCGCATATAAATGTGAACTTACTTCTATCATCATTGAATTTTATCAACAGCCTTTACTAGTCCACTCTTGGACATAGGCCTCACATTAGAAAAGAGGTTTTGGCCTACTATACCACGGTGGCCAGACGGGTTGGTATAGGGTTTGTTTCAAGTTTTCCATCTCTTTGCAGTGCTATTGTTCTGCGTGTTTTACTCCCTTAGTCGACTCTTACGATACCCACGGGATAAATAGGGTGACACTCTGTGTAGTCGCTTTCCATCAGGTGACGCGTCTGCCCTTACATAAAAAAATAATCAGTAAGGCAGTCCGGGCTAATGATTTTATATGTATAGATAACCAACACGATATTATGTATGTTTGTTTGTATAATATAAAATTATACTCTCTTTATAATTTCGTAAGTAAATAATAATTGTGTCATTGAATTTGGCAAAAATCAAGGTCTCAAAGAGCAAGTACTAGAAAAATCCCAAAGTTGTTAATTTATTGTCAGATCACATAATCATATTTTTGCGATGACACAGACCTATATATCTTATGATTAGAATACTTATTGTCTCCTATCTCGATGTATAGAATGTTTTAAGACTGCATTTTCAAAATTATCTTTTGGAAAAGCCGGTAATGACTTATTAGTTAAATGAACAAAAGAAATACAACCATCTACCAAAAAAAGATTTACTAAACAGACGCCTTACCGTTGGAGAGCCATAATTTAGGACAACTGCACCGGCTCGACCAGAGTGGACCGGCTTCCTTGTATTAAGCATTTTTTTCTTGGTTTTACAATGAGTAGGTGAAGTTGTCACAGCTCAAATCCATCCTCCCCTGATTCTGGGAGGAATGAATATTATCCATTAATACACAATCAAACGCCTTTGTGACTTGTGAGTTCTAGGTTGATTACCATTGTACCAGGGATTTCCTTTCTAGTTACCTTCGGGTACACCTGGTTCCCCGGCAACTGATACCCGAGATTGCATGCGGTTTTTGGTCGGTTCATGTCCGACACAACCATCCCACTGGTGGATGATATCCGAGGGGATTTTTGCCCAGGAAAAAAAAGGTTCATTACCATTAGGTGATCCATATACTCGTTTGTTCTCTTATGCCGTAAAAACAGACGCCATATTTGTTTATTTTAAAATTATTATCATATCAAATTATAGTTTCACTTTCAGTGGGATGATGTAAGGATTATTACATACCGCATACGTATATTTATTTAGGCATTTAGAAGAATAACAAAATTGTGTTTGCTTTAGAAAATTTGTAAATTTGTTATTTTTTTAACTTTTTCAGATCTACGCTGTTATGGTTTCCTTGTCCTCTAGTCTTTGGGTTTTGGGATTTTGGTACATCCACCATTAGTTGGTCGACTTGGCGTGCAGATTGGACAGCTCGACAAAGTAGGTTCAGATGGCAAAAATCTGAATCTGACAGTTTTCGGTTTTATTTCCCTTGGTGGAATTGGTATGAATTGGAGTTTAGAAGAAGGTTATATTGCGTATGTGGAATAAGTTATGGTAATTGTCACTTTACTAGTTTGTATTTCTTTTAATTTTATTTCAACGTTCATATATTTATTATCGTTTGAAGCCCCAACGGCATTCAACTCCTCGTCTGTTTGGTCAGCAGCGATGTTGACCAAATAGATAGCGAGTTGAATCCCTGCAAAATAAGACTGTCGAAAATGCTTTCACTTTGAAAACTGTTTTTATTTATTTATGTCTCTTTATTGTAAACCACTAAAGTATTTATTTGTAAAGATACTTTATTGGTTGAACTTATATATTCTGGTAAGACAATAGACGATCTTATAACTCACGGCAATCTCTTACTCGAAAATGATTTAAGATAGTCTGTGATGTACTTTAATAAAAAAAAAATACCCAGAATAATTAATAATATATAAACATAAAATTAGTATATACGTTTACAGTATACATACTACTAAAACATAAATGCAGAGGTCCATAAACACACAACGTAGTAGAAGAATTTAACCTAGTTGTTTTTTTTTATGTATGTAATTTATTACAGAGATGCTGAATCTTAGTACGGGTGCATTACTAAATAGAAGAACTGTGCTTACCGCTGCAAATTGCTTAGAACCATATATAAAAGATCCGTTAATGCTGCGCATATGGGCGCTAGGTAATAAAGGTGAACACATAACTCCATTTAGATACCGCGCTTGGAGGGTAACAAGAATGTATCCCAGAAGCGTCAATCCAGAACATCAACACGGACCCTTTGCGTACCACTCACCAAGACATGACGTAAGCGTGATTCATACAAGGGACCAAATGTATATCACATCAAAAATTTCTTGGAGGTATCATTATCCTTACAGAGCTTTTCTTCCCACCTATACTATGATTTATTTATCAGATTTACAGTTCATGGTAGGCTCCGGATATGAATATCTAGAACACATCTATGAAAATTATAAAATATTTTTTACTCACTTAAGCAAGAGTATTGTACGTGATTGCTCAGAGCTGCTTCCAAAATGGTGGGGTAAATTTATATGTATGACAAATACACTTAGTTTGCCTGGTGTACAAAATGGTGGTGGGTTGTATGATTACCATGTGGTTATTGGACTCGGGTGCTTTGAAATCCGCTATAACGAAGACAAGATGTTTGTGTTTACTGACCTAAGATATTACGTCCTTGCTATATATGCTCTTGCTCATATCGAACCTGGCGAGTATTATGAGTATGCATATCCACAATGGAGCGTGCAAACTGGTTGGTTTGGTATGTTCGACTGGTCTGGAAATAATCCCTATATACCTTCTTGGCAAATAAAAAATGACATGTATCCTATGGGTAAGTAAAATTTCACACGTTTCTTTCTCACAGAAATTATAAATTATTATTCACATTACATCACAAGTTATTATTATTACATACATATTATTCTTCGCCTTAGGCTTCCTCGGCTTTCCTCCAATGAATTGGGAAAATTAATTCAAGGCTAGGCTCGGGGATGAAATAAATAATATAAGTATTAGTGTAGTTGCATCGATGACGAGCCTCGTTTTTCATCTGAGAATTGTGTTGTATTGTAACCTCAGGACTTCCCGTTTGTACAACACTCATTTCTTTCATTTTTCCCGTCTCGCGTCAGGCTGACAGCTGGCTGAAAAGGAAGTCAGCGAAAACCGTTAGTAGCGTTTAACTTTCATATTGGGTCGACGGCACGAACATAATATGATACTATTTCTGCCGTTTTCGGTTATGATGTTAATAATGTATTTTCAACGCTAATTTTGTGAAAAATTTAGGATATTAAATCGTTAGCTCAGGAAGGGTGTTCTAACTTTGACGCGTATGTTTGTCTGTAGTATCATAGTTCTAAACGAATTTACCGATTGTGATGCGTTTTGTTGTTGACCCGATCGAGATGATTTTTGACTATAATTTGTGAAGATCATCAGCTCATTTCAAAGTTGATGAAAAAGTCTCACTAACTTAGGCAATCCCGATTGATTTGAAATTTGATGCATTGCTTGAAGCTATAGCCAAACCTTGCGTTTTTTCGCTGTCGAAGGTTTTCCAAATTTTTAATTTGTATTATTATTAAACTAAAATATAAATTGTATTACATGTTATAGTAATTAATGTTTAGGAATTCTCAAATGAAAACCCTGTGAAATTGTTAACAGGCTTTTAATTTATTGTAAAATTTAATTGTATTGTACATGTATAGAAGTTGTATTCGTTAGTCTTAAATAGTGAAACAGTAATTATTATTGTATATAAGGATATTTAATAAACAGAACAAAGCAAATAAGAAATCGTTACTGTGTAAGTAGTATCACTAATAACATTAAGGAAATAAATATTATTAAAACAATAAGATTAGTTTTCTACTCCCATTTAAATTATATTAAAGGGCTGTAACCCTTTCCTTAATAAATATATCGCTAAAGTTTATAAAAAAAATGTGGTAAGATTAGCATGAATATCCTTATTCTAAAAACATATATGTTTTATCCAACACTCTTAGGTCAGCACTAGAGCCAAAGCCTTCAAGTTCAAGTTACATTGAAACTCACATAATAATATTTGGCAGGCAACACTGGCGCCCTATTGTCTGACTATCCAAGGTTAAACAAACATCTGATGTCGCTTTTACCTCTAAGAAAGAAAAAGTTTTTTGATCAGGAGAATTTGTAGGTTATTTGGCTTATTAACAGTTTAGATGTTTCGTTACATAGTAGTTCTGGACTGTTAATAAATAATCTCTACTGAACATTCTGTAGACTTCGTATTGGTAATCGATAATTGTTTTGCAGTACAAGCATGCATGCATGTAATTTAATTTATTTTAATTCTTTTTGCACAAATACGAGTTGTACAATGGCTAACTTAATGCTACAGGCATTTTCTCCTAGTCTACTTTAGGGTGGTGCTGAACTGTAGGACTAAGTGCACTAGACTTTGATGTGTAAAGTAAGAGAGAATTATTGAGAATTAAGACAGAAACATTAAGATAAATATACATACATACGTATCAAATATATATACTTCCCTAGTTACATACATACATAAACCTACATATTATTTAATAATGATTAAAACTTTAAGGTTGTAATGAATCTGCTAGGGTGGCCAGAATGCGAGCTCAAACTTTCATCTTGAATGAGGCCTGGGTTCCATCCTGATTTCCAGATATAGTACTTATTAGTACTATATGTTAAAATTGCGGTTTAAAATACTTACTTAGTTTTAAATAGCCGCAGTTTAAAAGGTACGTCGATGACCGACAAAGGGTGTAATTTATAGCACAAAGCACAATACCCTCTAAAATACTACAAGTCAATGACGAAACATATCCAATGGCTTACACTGCAGCTATTGGATATGAGCCTAAAAACATCATCATCAGACATCATCACTAATTTACTATCGTATTACTCGTAGCACTACCTTTACATTATCACAATATTACATTAGCACAACCATTGGCTCAGTCAGTCAGTTACTCACTACTAAAGTGACTGACTGACTACTGAGTCAATAGTCACATCACACCGCAGTAAAAACCGTTTAATTCTTTAGATATTTTTGATGGGTTACCCTTTCTAAAAGAACTTTTATGTCATAATATTATTTTGCATAAAAACGGATAGCATGAACTTCATTTCGCAGAAAATCGTTTGGCAGACATTAATTTATCATAAGTTCAAAACTCATAATTTTGTAAATCATAAGCATCTTTAGGCATACACTTTATATCCATAATAATTAAAAAGTACGAGTTGAACCATCATATCGCCAAAAAATCATAGTCAGAATCGTCTTTGAGCATAACTTATAATTACACTCTAGGGTTAGGGTAGACAAGACTACGTGGAGTCGGTTTTGCAGCGATTCGTTTCTGTCACAAACTTTTGTAGTGAGGCATTATGACTTTTTAAGATAATAATTAAAAAAATGCTACTTCAAGGTAATATGCCTAATAAAATTATTCCAAATAAATGTCGCTCTAAATAAACGTTATGCATCAACAAAATAGAACCCGATCATCCATGAAAAAGGTTGCCAAAACAGGAAAAAATTGAACCTTTTCAGAGATGCAAATGAAGTTGCACGGGTCAGCTTTTTGTTCATAATCAGATCGATGCAAATGTCGGCTAAAAATCTATGGATTTACAGGCTAATTTTCGGGCATCTGACATACAATGACATCTTGAGGTTCTGAGGAAAATCTAGTCTAATTTAGTCTATCATTGATTTCTTTTTTTTTGTGTAATTGCTAATGAGATTAATAGACAGCACCTTATGTGAGGCACAAATTTTTGTTCTGAGTCTGGGTGTTCTTTGTGTCCGCTTAATGTATGTTTGAAGACCCTGCGACACAGAATGTATTGTTAGAGTCGCGCACAAACAAGACTTTCTATGTCGCGGGTCTTAAAAAAGTCTTTAAAAAGAAAAGAAAAACATTTTAGATTTTTATTTTGTTCTTAGGATTATCCATGAAGGCTGTTAAAAATAGGCAATAAATTATAATCATATACCGTCCATAATAGCCAATTTGTATATATTTTTCTTTTTAAGTAAGTCGGAAAATGACACCCCTTATAACACAGTTATTTACATGTGCTCCCTAAATCTAAGATAAAAATATCTCGCGTCACGATGTTTGTGATCGCACTCTCCGAAACAGCTCTACCGATTTTAATAAATGTATTTTTGTATATTTAGTAGGCATGAGATTAGGTCGTAAGTTATTTTTCACCCTCCTACCCCTACACCCCAAAACCCAGATGAAGTTGCACGGGTAAGCTAGTAATTGCATATAATTGAAAACTATGTGTGGCAACCTGGTTCGCTTTAAATAATTCAAAAAAATACAGACACATATTTTCTATATATTCATTTAACAGAAATAGGGATTATGTGTTTAATAACTTACAGTTACAAAATCTAAAAAACACGCATTTGCAACTAGATGAACTAAAAACTGGTTTTGCAATTTAAAAACAAATTCTGGCAAACACTATTTAGTGAAATAAAACTTATGATGCAGGCCACAGATTGTGTGGCTGCTAATTTGACTAAAGTTAACTTAAATAACTGATACCGGTAACGGAAATAATAGCAATAAAATTAAAATTAAATGACAATTAAAAAATCATCTTTCTGCAAAATAAATACAGGCTCTCTCTCACGCACGTCGTTAAATATGTAGGTAGGTACTTATGACCCTATTGACTTGACTTCTACAGCGATTTTTTTTAAGTTCTTCATGGGATTGAAAACGTTTGTAGCAGTAAATATATGTATAACCTAACCTAACCTATATATGTATAAGCGTAAAGGCTCTGGATTAATATATCATTTAACAATAATGTTTACACACAAATTGTCCTTTGCAGTTTATAAAGTTCTCAATTGTGTCAGGATTTTCTGCCCATAAAAATCAAATCCAATACTTTATTTTTATTACACACATACAAAAAGGTGTTAAACAATAGTAATAATTTAATAAACGTTGGGTTATATCTTTATTAGGTGATATTAGGTGATAAGATATATCTTATATACTTATGAGTACTAGGTGTGTAAATTTATTAGAAACAAAATGTTCTGTATTATGTAACAAAATGTATCTTAGAATTTTAATATTAATTTAGTACTGATAAATATAATTAACAATATTATAATAAATAATTGGTTCTGGTGGATTCTGATTCAGTTTAATATTTTCAGTTACGCATATATATTCAAAATCTATTTTACTGGTATTGAATTCTTTGGTTAGGTTAGAGCTGTGACCATGAAAGCTGAGATGTTTTGAATTATCATGAAGTTGGAATTTTTGTTACTCGATCTATTGAAACTCGATATTTTGAGCATAGCAATTATAAACGTTAGGACTATTGAATTTTTTAAATTATAAAATTAGGATGAATGGTCAATCGGAGTTGTTATATTAGGAATTTTGAACCATTCGGAATGATTAAAATCGGTATTTTGAAATTCGCATTTGTGACTGATGGAATATTTTTTTTGTAATTATGTGTGTTGGGTGTTGAAAAAGAGTTTAAATGACGTACGTTCTGTTGGAAGAAGGTGAAACGCCATATGCCGTTCTCATTAAGTTTTGATAACGAGACAATAGGCTGCAGATTGAAAGATGCTAATGCCTTCGATTCCATTTTTTTATTAAAGAGGTGGCAAATGAGCAGCCGTGTCACCTGATGGAAAGTGTGCTACATTCCAAGCAACTAGACACTAGAGGCTATGGTGACGTTGAGCATCTTATGTTACCTCTTATTTTATGACTGGCTGTACCTATGCATAAACTATAGAGTACAACCCGTGA